TTTTTGTTTTATAATATATACTCGATGTGGAAAAGTTCTCGCTGGTCGCTCCATCAAGACCTGTGATGACGGAATGGATCACTTCTTGCTGGTAACTTCGGTCGAAGTTGTCATCTAAGACAATAATAAGTGGTTTTGCGAGGGCAGGCTTCCTTACTGATGTTCGGGAGGTCGACATAGAAGAAGACATCGTCGAGCAACTTGACACTATTGCTATCGAATTAGAGCGCTACAAAATTGCAGAGGAAGAAATCACTTCTGACGATGATATAGGAAGCGAATACAGCGGGGCTGAGGACGATATTGATATTGAGGACAAATGATAAATACATTTGCATTTAATATGTTTATCGTGTGCTTACCCATGATCTAAATCGTCACTTTGTTTATCTTAAATCTTGGGATTTGAATTACTAACTCGTTACAATCTATGTCGGCCCATTGTCGCCAACGACTAAAACGATACGGTAGTCATATTTTAAGTTTTTCACATTATTATTTATAGTAATACAATTGTTATTTATTATAAACGCTGATATAATAATTATGTGTACTACTACTGCAAATGACTGCAAGCAAAAGTATGACTGTCCTTTATAATAGTACTAAGAAAAATAATATTGTAAGTTAAATTAGTACAACAGTACTACGAAGCCTAAAACATCATTCTAAATCCAATAAGTACTAAAGTTTGGATTGAGGCCGAAATATGAGTCACCAAAGCCTTCAAAAACTTTCAACGGCTCCTACGACGATAAAGTACGTGTGTGCACATTGGCGCCTTCTACAGATGCTAACAAACGCGCACACAGGCAGCGCCCTTTGCGTCGAGAGGCGCTCCGCTGCTGAATATGAGAGCAAAATGAAATTTGAGCGGTGCTTCTAAGTACGATGTGTAGTCCACATACAGTGTGTACAAAACACAATGTCGATTTTAGCCAATATGGGCCGCCTTCGCTGCGCTCGGCAGCTTTTTAGCGAATCGAGGCCGCCTTCGCTGCGCTCGGCAGCCAGTAGAGCCCGCGTATTTGCGTTACATTAATTAACCCTAGCCGCGGACGGAATGACAGACGGACGGACGCAGACCACACTCCACTAGGGGGGTAAGATATCACCGTTTTACAAAACTACTACAGCAAGAAACTATTATTAGCTAGACGAGACGAAACACTTATTTTGTGAAAGTATTGTTTTTTTTGGTAGTACAGTACTGTAGTACTATTTTAGTACAGTATTGCACCCCGTTTCCGCGCCCTTGGACCTTTGATAAACTTTCGGATGTGATTATCCTGAATCCAAAAGAACTAACATTTGTAAGCAAAAATATGATTTATGTGCAAACTCTAAATTGTTTACCCCTGCGAAAACGGATGCAGTACTGTATAAATACCAGCACGTTTTGCAACTCGGCTTGCAACAGGATTCTGATTGGGTATAATTAGATTAGGGACCAAGGGTATCAACAAGTACGTGGTCATCTACATGTACTACAAATTTTGCACTACACACGCAGATTGGGATGTCTGCTGCGCCTACGATCAGCACGGAGAGCCGCCAAGACGTTTGAAACAGAGAGCTGTCTACCGTAAACCGAATACACTTTGTCAATTGCTGTGTCACTCGTGAAACCCGAGCGAGCCAGACTTGACACAACGTCCCAAAACACCTTTCGTCTTGAGTAGGCAAACTTGTTAGCGCCACGTTCGGCTGCTGTAAAGTCCTTCGCTGCCTTCAATTCTGCACAGCCAACTTTATATTCATGCCATAGTTCGTACAGATCTTTGGTCGTTTTGATAGTCGGGCTGCACGTTGCCTTGTAGGGGGCACTTCTCCGGCAGGAATGTGGGCAGAGACATCTCGACGAACGCCAGGCTGTATGGCAACGCGTCGAACTATTGCCTGGAGTTTTTGCAGATCTCTCTGGATATCGCGTCGTAATTGCTGAACTTCATCCGCTGTATGGCGGCGAATTGCTGCTATTTGAGCGTACAGTGCTGCGAACTCGCGACGACTAACTTCCCCACCCGACACATTACCACCAGAATGTGTAACAACTGCATTGTTCTCTTGATCAGGGCCCTCACTGCTGTCCATTATGACGAGGTTTAGCTGCGAGCCATCGCCAGTGACGAAAATTCCCTCCCGAACAACAGGATTTAGCCCTGAAGTGTCAGCAATATTAGCAAATGCGCGTAAAATTCTCTGCTGTAGCTTTTTCGGTAATAAAGCGTACTCGTAGTTCTCAGATGGTTCCATCGCCACCCACAATAATGGCAATGCCAATGTAGCTGCAATGGATCCTACCATGAGCTGTTATACGGCAGGTGCAATATGATCTACGAGAAAAGCGGTCGAAATGCGGCCAGCTCCAGTCCCCATATTATAAAAGCACGGCCCCTCTGGACCTGTTAACGTTGCTGCCGTCAATGCATCAGGATACGGTTGGGTGTTGTCTATGTAGACGTCAACAACCCCTTTGCGCGTTCTCCAACGTCCTCGTCGGTTAACAAAGTCCTTTGAGCTACCACTCCGAGTCGCGTACGTTGCAGCACCTTTGCGAATGCTGTGTGTCCCCAGCTTTCCTGTCTTGAGCTTCTTAAATGAGTCGTTCTTCACCATGCTAGTCAAGAATCGTCGAACTACATGATCACCGTCCTTAGGATTGCCGTACACAAACTTAGAGCTCATGACACTTGACGTAGACTCTATATGGACAGCGAGGTTGAGAAGTACACACATCTTGGGATCCAGGCTATCAATAATGATCTGCTCTAGAGCATCTCGCTCTTCGTGAATATTTTTTGACCACCGCATCTGCAAAAGTAGTGTGAAAGGGTATTGTGTGTTAGGTGAGAAGTTTGCGAATTGCAACTTCATCATTTCGTCAATCCGGGCGCAAATATGCCACTGCAGTGTTAGCACACTGCTAACCAAGTATGATGAGTCATCCGATTTCCATCGAGCCCGAACTAAAAGCAGTAAGTTCAGAACTCAGCAAACTCCACAGCTCGGCGAGCTTTGGATTCTGCCCCCTCGCGACGTACCTCAATTTTTTTCACCTTCTTGATCAGCTTGTTCACAGCGTCCGAGCGTGTTGGGCTACCGCGTTCGTTCACAGGATCCCATGTTGTATTTATTCGCGGCATAAAAGATGATATAGCTTTCTTAGCAAACTCAAGCGTGCTTGAGCGACGGTGAATAGGTTTCATGGATTCATCTGGCTCTGGGTCGCGTAAGCCTGCTGGTTCATATAGCGACAGACGTGATCTGGTGTGATGTTAAGGAGCTCGCCCATAGTGAAGACGTAGTCGCCGCTGTACGCCACGCCGTTCGTGAAGGCCATGAACCTCATGAGCTCCGGTTTGTAGCGACTTGTCATGATGGCGTGTTTTTCTGTACTGATTATTAATACTCTCCATGAAAGCCAGTGTAAGTCGACTTATTTTTTATAGAGAGGCTACACTGGACGGCTTGCAACTCTACACAGACTTTTTTGTATCAGTCCTGGTTGCAAAAGATGACACTTTGTGCTATGGTACATGCAACAATAGTTGCCGACGACACCTACTTGAGCGGGACCGTACCGACAACGATCCAGGCCGGTACCATGCCATTGGCCAATCACAGACTGCCAATCTAAAAAAATACAACCTCGGTTGCAAGTGGCTGGTAGTGTATAAATACCAGCACGTTTTGCAACTCGGCTTGCAGCAGGATTCTGATTGGGTATAATTAGATTAGGGACCAAGGGTATCAACAAGTACGTGGTCATCTACATGTACTACAAATTTTGCACTACACACGCAGATTGGGATGTCTGCTGCGCCTACGATCAGCACGGAGAGCCGCCAAGACGTTTGAAACAGAGAGCTGTCTACCGTAAACCGAATACACTTTGTCAATTGCTGTGTCACTCGTGAAACCCGAGCGAACCAGACTTGACACAACGTCCCAAAACACCTTTCGTCTTGAGTAGGCAAACTTGTTAGCGCCACGTTCGGCTGCTGTAAAGTCCTTCGCTGCCTTCAATTCTGCACAGCCAACTTTATATTCATGCCATAGTTCGTACAGATCCTTTGGTCGTTTTGATAGTCGGGCTGCACGTTGCCTTGTAGGGGGCACTTCTCCGGCAGGAATGTGGGCAGAGACATCTCGACGAACGCTAGGCTGTATGGCAACGCGTCGAACTATTGCCTGGAGTTTTTGCAGATCTCTCTGGATATCGCGTCGTAATTGCTGAACTTCATCCGCTGTATGGCGGCGAATTGCTGCTATTTAAGCGTACAGTGCTGCGAACTCGCGACGACTAACTTCCCCACCCGACACATTACCACCAGAACGTGTAACAACTGCATTGCTCTCTTGATCAGGGCCCTCACTGCTGTCCATTATGACGAGGTTTAGCTGCGAGCCATCGCCAGTGACGAAAATTCCCTCCCGAACAACAGGATTTAGCCCTGAAGTGTCAGCAATATTAGCAAATGCGCGTAAAATTCTCTGCTGTAGCTTTTTCGGTAATAAAGCGTACTCGTAGTTCTCAGATGGTTCCATCGCCGCCCACAATAATGGCAATGCCAATGTAGCTGCAATGGATCCTCCCATGAGCTGTTATACGGCAGGTGCAATATGATCTACGAGAAAAGCGGTCGAAATGCGGCCAGCTCCAGTCCCCATATTATAAAAGCACGGCCCCTCTGGACCTGTAAACGTTGCTGCCGTCAATGCATCAGGATAGGGTTGGGTGTTGTCTATGTAGACGTCAACAACCCCTTTGCGCGTTCTCCAACGTCCTTGTCGGTTAACAAAGTCCTTTGAGCTACCACTCCGAGTCGCGTACGTTGCAGCACCTTTGCGAATGCTGTGTGTCCCCAGCTTTCCTGTCTTGAGCTTCTTAAATGAGTCGTTCTTCACCATGCTAGTCAAGAATCGTCGAACTACATGATCACCGTCCTTAGGATTGCCGTACACAAACTTAGAGCTCATGACACTTGACGTAGACTCTATAAAGACAGCGAGGTTGAGAAGTACACACATCTTGGGATCCAGGCTATCAATAATGATCTGCTCTGGAGCATCTCGCTCTTCGTGAATATTTTTTGACCACCGCATCTGCAAAAGTAGTGTGGAAGGGTATTGTGTGTTAGGTGAGAGGTTTGCGAATTGCAACTTCATCATGTCGTCAATCCAGGCGCAAATATGCCACTGCAGTGTTAGCACACTGCTAACCAAGTATGATGAGTCATCCGATTTCCATCGAGCCCGAACTAAAAGCAGTAAGTTCAGAACTCAGCAAACTCCACAGCTCGGCGAGCTTTGGATTCTGCCCCCTCGCGACGTACCTCAAACTTTTTCACCTTCTTGATCAGCTTGTTCACAGCGTCCGAGCGTGTTGGGTTACCGCGTTCGTTCACAGGATCCGATGTTGTATTTATTCGCGGCATAAAAGATGATATAGCTTTCTTAGCAAACTCAAGCGTGCTTGAGCGACGGTGAATAGGTTTCATGGATTCATCTGGCTCTGGGTCGCCGTAAGCCTGCTGGTTCATCCAGCGACAGACGTGATCTGGTGTGATGTTAAGGAGCTCGCCCATAGTGAAGACGTAGTCGCCGCTGTACGCCACGCCGTTCGTGAAGGCCATGAACCTCATGAGCTCCGGTTTGTAGCGACTTGTCATGATGGCGTGTTTTTCTGTACTGATTATTAATACTCTCCATGAAAGCCAGTGTAAGTCGACTTATTTTTTGTAGAGAGGCTACACTGGACGGCTTGCAACTCTACACAGACTTTTTTGTATCAGTCCTGGTTGCAAAAGATGACACTTTGTGCTATGGTACATGCAACAATAGTTGCCGACGACACCTACTTGAGCGGGACCGTACCGACCACGATCCAGGCCGGTACCATGCCATTGGCCAATCACAGACTGCCAATCTAAAAAAATACAACCTCGGTTGCAAGTGGCTGGTAATGTATAAATACCAGCACGTTTTGCAACTCGGCTTGCAGCAGGATTCTGATTGGGTATAATTAGATTAGGGACCAAGGGTATCAACAAGTACGTGGTCATCTACATGTACTACAAATTTTGCACTACACACGCAGATTGGGATGTCTGCTGCGCCTACGATCAGCACGGAGAGCCGCCAAGACGTTTGAAACAGAGAGCTGTCTACCGTAAACCGAATACACTTTGTCAATTGCTGTGTCACTCGTGAAACCCGAGCGAACCAGACTTGACACAACGTCCCAAAACACCTTTCGTCTTGAGTAGGCAAACTTGTTAGCGCCACGTTCGGCTGCTGTAAAGTCCTTCGCTGCCTTCAATTCTGCACAGCCAACTTTATATTCATGCCATAGTTCGTACAGATCTTTGGTCGTTTTGATAGTCGGGCTGCACGTTGCCTTGTAGGGGGCACTTCTCCGGCAGGAATGTGGGCAGAGACATCTCGACGAACGCCAGGCTGTATGGCAACGCGTCGAACTATTGCCTGGAGTTTTTGCAGATCTCTCTGGATATCGCGTCGTAATTGCTGAACTTCATCCGCTGTATGGCGGCGAATTGCTGCTATTTGAGCGTACAGTGCTGCGAACTCGCGACGACTAACTTCCCCACCCGACACATTACCACCAGAACGTGTAACAACTGCATTGTTCTCTTGATCAGGGCCCTCACTGCTGTCCATTATGACGAGGTTTAGCTGCGAGCCATCGCCAGTGACGAAAATTCCCTCCCGAACAACAGGATTTAGCCCTGAAGTGTCAGCAATATTAGCAAATGCGCGTAAAATTCTCTGCTGTAGCTTTTTCGGTAATAAAGCGTACTCGTAGTTCTCAGATGGTTCCATCGCCACCCACAATAATGGCAATGCCAATGTAGCTGCAATGGATCCTCCCATGAGCTGTTATACGGCAGGTGCAATCTAATCTACGAGAAATGCGGTCGAAATGCGGCCAGCTCCAGTCCCCATATTATAAAAGCACGGCCCCTCTGGACCTGTTAACGTTGCTGCCGTCAATGCATCAGGATAGGGTTGGGTGTTGTCTATGTAGACGTCAACAACCGCTTTGCGCGTTCTCCAACGTCCTCGTCGGCTAACAAAGTCCTTTGAGCTACCACTCCGAGTCGCGTACGTTGCAGCACCTTTGCGAAGGCTGTGTGTCCCCAGCTTTCCTGTCTTGAGCTTCTTAAATGAGTCGTTCTTCACCATGCTAGTCAAGAACTGTCGAACTACATGATCACCGTCCTTAGGATTGCCGTACACAAACTCAGAGCTCATGACACTTGACGTAGACTCTATATGGACAGCGAGGTTGAGAAGTACACACATCTTGGGATCCAGGCTATCAATAATGATCTGCTCTGGAGCATCTCGCTCTTCGTGAATATTTTTTGACCACCGCATCTGCAAAAGTAGTGTGGAAGGGTATTGTGTGTTAGGTGAGAGGTTTGCGAATTGCAACTTCATCATGTCGTCAATCCAGGCGCAAATATGCCACTGCAGTGTTAGCACACTGCTAACCAAGTATGATGAGTCATCCGATTTCCATCGAGCCCGAACTAAAAGCAGTAAGTTCAGAACTCAGCAAACTCCACAGCTCGGCGAGCTTTGGATTCTGCCCCCTCGCGACGTACCTCAAACTTTTTCACCTTCTTGATCAGCTTGTTCACAGCGTCCGAGCGTGTTGGGTTACCGCGTTCGTTCACAGGATCCCATGTTGTATTTATTCGCGGCATAAAAGATGATATAGCTTTCTTAGCAAACTCAAGCGTGCTTGAGCGACGGTGAATAGGTTTCATGGATTCATCTGGCTCTGGGTCGCCGTAAGCCTGCTGGTTCATATAGCGACAGACGTGATCTGGTGTGATGTTAAGGAGCTCGCCCATAGTGAAGACGTAGTCGCCGCTGTACGCCACGCCGTTCGTGAAGGCCATGAACCTCATGAGCTCCGGTTTGTAGCGACTTGTCATGATGGCGTGTTTTTCTGTACTGATTATTAATACTCTCCATGAAAGCCAGTGTAAGTCGACTTATTTTTTATAGAGAGGCTACACTGGACGGCTTGCAACTCTACACAGACTTTTTTTGTATCAGTCCCGGTTGCAAAAGATGACACTTTGTGCTATGGTACATGCAACAATAGTTGCCGACGACACCTACTTGAGCGGGACCGTACCGACCACGATCCAGGCCGGTACCATGCCATTGGCCAATCACAGACTGCCAATCTAAAAAAATACAACCTCGGTTGCAAGTGGCTGGTAATGTATAAATACCAGCACGTTTTGCAACTCGGTTTGCAACAGGATTCTGATTGGGTATAATTAGATTAGGGACCAAGGGTATCAACAAGTACGTGGTCATCTACATGTACTACAAATTTTGCACTACACACGCAGATTGGGATGTCTGCTGCGCCTACGATCAGCACGGAGAGCCGCCAAGACGTTTGAAACAGAGAGCTGTCTACCGTAAACCGAATACACTTTGTCAATTGCTGTGTCACTCGTGAAACCCGAGCGAACCAGACTTGACACAACGTCCCAAAACACCTTTCGTCTTGAGTAGGCAAGCTTGTTAGCGCCACGTTCGGCTGCTGAAAAGTCCTTCGCTGCCTTCAATTCTGCACAGCCAACTTTATATTCATGCCATAGTTCGTACAGATCTTTGGTAGTTTTGATAGTCGGGCTGCACGTTGCCTTGTAGGGGGCACTTCTCCGGCAGGAATGTGGGCAGAGACATCTCGACGAACGCCAGGCTGTATGGCAACGCGTCGAACTATTGCCTGGAGTTTTTGCAGATCTCTCTGGATATCGCGTCGTAATTGCTGAACTTCATCCGCTGTATGGCGGCGAATTGCTGCTATTTGAGCGTACAGTGCTGCGAACTCGCGACGACTAACTTCCCCACCCGACACATTACCACCAGAACGTGTAACAACTGCATTGTTCTCTTGATCAGGGCCCTCACTGCTGTCCATTATGACGAGGTTTAGCTGCGAGCCATCGCCAGTGACGAAAATTCCCTCCCGAACAACAGGATTTAGCCCTGAAGTGTCAGCAATATTAGCAAATGCGCGTAAAATTCTCTGCTGTAGCTTTTTCGGTAATAAAGCGTACTCGTAGTTCTCAGATGGTTCCATCGCCACCCACAATAATGGCAATGCCAATGTAGCTGCAATGGATCCTCCCATGAGCTGTTATACGGCAGGTGCAATCTGATCTACGAGAAAAGCGGTCGAAATGCGGCCAGCTCCAGTCCCCATATTATAAAAGCACGGCCCCTCTGGACCTGTTAACGTTGCTGCCGTCAATGCATCAGGATACGGTTGGGTGTTGTCTATGTAGACGTCAACAACCCCTTTGCGCGTTCTCCAACGTCCTCGTCGGCTAACAAAGTCCTTTGAGCTACCACTCCGAGTCGCGTACGTTGCAGCACCTTTGCGAAGGCTGTGTGTCCCCAGCTTTCCTGTCTTGAGCTTCTTAAATGAGTCGTTATTCACCATGCTAGTCAAGAACCGTCGAACTACATGGTCACCGTCCTTAGGATTGCCGTACACAAACTCAGAGCTCATGACACTTGACGTAGACTCTATATGGACAGCGAGGTTGAGAAGTACACACATCTTGGGATCCAGGCTATCAATAATGATCTGCTCTGGAGCATCTCGCTCTTCGTGAATATTTTTTGACCACCGCATCTGCAAAAGTAGTGTGGAAGGGTATTGTGTGTTAGGTGAGAGGTTTGCGAATTGCAACTTCATCATGTCGTCAATCCGGGCGCAAATATGCCACTGCAGTGTTAGCACACTGCGAACCAAGTATGATGAGTCATCCGATTTCCATCGAGCCCGAACTAAAAGCAGTAAGTTCAGAACTCAGCAAACTCCACAGCTCGGCGAGCTTTGGATTCTGCCCCCTCGCGACGTACCTCAAACTTTTTCACCTTCTTGATCAGCTTGTTCACAGCGTCCGAGCGTGTTGGGTTACCGCGTTCGTTCACAGGATCCCATGTTGTATTTATTCGCGGCATAAAAGATGATATAGCTTTCTTAGCAAACTCAAGCGTGCTTGAGCGACGGTGAATAGGTTTCATGGATTCATCTGGCTCTGGGTCGCCGTAAGCCTGCTGGTTCATCCAGCGACAGACGTGATCTGGTGTGATGTTAAGGAGCTCGCCCATAGTGAAGACGTAGTCGCCGCTGTACGCCACGCCGTTCGTGAAGGCCATGAACCTCATGAGCTCCGGTTTGTAGCGACTTGTCATGATGGCGTGTTTTTCTGTACTGATTATTAATACTCTCCATGAAAGCCAGTGTAAGTCCGACTTTTTTTTTGTAGAGAGGCTACACTGGACGGCTTGCAACTCTACACAGACTTTTTTGTATCAGTCCTGGTTGCAAAAGATGACACTTTGTGCTATGGTACATGCAACAATAGTTGCCGACGACACCTACTTGAGCGGGACCGTACCGACCACGATCCAGGCCGGTACCATGCCATTGGCCAATCACAGACTGCCAATCTAAAAAAATACAACCTCGGTTGCAAGTGGCCGGTAATGTATAAATACCAGCACGTTTTGCAACTCGGCTTGCAACAGGATTCTGATTGGGTATAATTAGATTAGGGACCAAGGGTATCAACAAGTACGTGGTCATCTACATGTACTACAAATTTTGCACTACACACGCAGATTGGGATGTCTGCTGCGCCTACGATCAGCACGGAGAGCCGCCAAGACGTTTGAAACAGAGAGCTGTCTACCGTAAACCGAATACACTTTGTCAATTGCTGTGTCACTCGTGAAACCCGAGCGAACCAGACTTGACACAACGTCCCAAAACACCTTTCGTCTTGAGTAGGCAAACTTGTTAGCGCCACGTTCGGCTGCTGTAAAGTCCTTCGCTGCCTTCAATTCTGCACAGCCAACTTTATATTCATGCCATAGTTCGTACAGATCTTTGGTCGTTTTGATAGTCGGGCTGCACGTTGCCTTGTAGGGGGCACTTCTCCGGCAGGAATGTGGGCAGAGACATCTCGACGAACGCCAGGCTGTATGGCAACGCGTCGAACTATTGCCTGGCGTTTTTGCAGATCTCTCTGGATATCGCGTCGTAATTGCTGAACTTCATCCGCTGTATGGCGGCGAATTGCTGCTATTTGAGCGTACAGTGCTGCGAACTCGCGACGACTAACTTCCCCACCCGACACATTACCACCAGAACGTGTAACAACTGCATTGCTCTCTTGATCAGGGCCCTCACTGATGTCCATTATGACGAGGTTTAGCTGCGAGCCATCGCCAGTGACGAAAATTCCCTCCCGAACAACAGGATTTAGCCCTGAAGTGTCAGCAATATTAGCAAATGCGCGTAAAATTCTCTGCTGTAGCTTTTTCGGTAATAAAGCGTACTCGTAGTTCTCAGATGGTTCCATCGCCGCCCACAATAATGGCAATGCCAATGTAGCTGCAATGGATCCTCCCATGAGCTGTTATACGGCAGGTGCAATATGATCTACGAGAAAAGCGGTCGAAATGCGGCCAGCTCCAGTCCCCATATTATAAAAGCACGGCCCCTCTGGACCTGTTAACGTTGCTGCCGTCAATGCATCAGGATACGGTTGGGTGTTGTCTATGTAGACGTCAACAACCGCTTTGCGCGTTCTCCAACGTCCTCGTCGGCTAACAAAGTCCTTTGAGCTACCACTCCGAGTCGCGTACGTTGCAGCACCTTTGCGAAGGCTGTGTGTCCCCAGCTTTCCTGTCTTGAGCTTCTTAAATGAGTCGTTCTTCACCATGCTAGTCAAGAACCGTCGAACTACATGATCACCGTCCTTAGGATTGCCGTACACAAACTCAGAGCTCATGACACTTGACGTAGACTCTATATGGACAGCGAGGTTGAGAAGTACACACATCTTGGGATCCAGGCTATCAATAATGATCTGCTCTGGAGCATCTCGCTCTTCGTAAATATTTTTTGACCACCGCATCTGCAAAAGTAGTGTGGAAGGGTATTGTGTGTTAGGTGAGAAGTTTGCGAATTGCAACTTCATCATGTCGTCAATCCGGGCGCAAATATGCCACTGCAGTGTTAGCACACTGCGAACCAAGTATGATGAGTCATCCGATTTCCATCGAGCCCGAACTAAAAGCAGTAAGTTCAGAACTCAGCAAACTCCACAGCTCGGCGAGCTTTGGATTCTGCCCCCTCGCGACGTACCTCAATTTTTTTCACCTTCTTGATCAGCTTGTTCACAGCGTCCGAGCGTGTTGGGCTACCGCGTTCGTTCACAGAATCCCATGTTGTATTTATTCGCGGCATAAAAGATGATATAGCTTTCTTAGCAAACTCAAGCGTGCTTGAGCGACGGTGAATAGGTTTCATGGATTCATCTGGCTCTGGGTCGCGTAAGCCTGCTGGTTCATCCAGCGACAGACGTGATCTGGTGTGATGTTAAGGAGCTCGCCCATAGTGAAGACGTAGTCGCCGCTGTACGCCACGCCGTTCGTGAAGGCCATGAACCTCATGAGCTCCGGTTTGTAGCGACTTGTCATGATAGCGTGTTTTTCTGTACTGATTATTAATACTCTCCATGAAAGCCAGTGTAAATCGACTTATTTTTTGTAGAGAGGCTACACTGGACGGCTTGCAACTCTACACAGACTTTTTTGTATCAGTCCTGGTTGCAAAAGATGACACTTTGTGCTATGGTACATGCAACAATAGTTGCCGACGACACCTACTTGAGTGGGACCGTACCGACCACGATCCAGGCCGGTACCATGCCATTGGCCAATCACAGACTGCCAATCAAAAAAAATACAACCTCGGTTGCAAGTGGCTGGTAATGTATAAATACCAGCACGTTTTGCAACTCGGCTTGCAGCAGGATTCTGATTGGGTATAATTAGATTAGGGACCAAGGGTATCAACAAGTACGTGGTCATCTACATGTACTACAAATTTTGCACTACACACGCAGATTGGGATGTCTGCTGCGCCTACGATCAGCACGGAGAGCCGCCAAGACGTTTGAAACAGAGAGCTGTCTACCGTAAACCGAATACACTTTGTCAATTGCTGTGTCACTCGTGAAACCCGAGCGAACCAGACTTGACACAACGTCCCAAAACACCTTTCGTCTTGAGTAGGCAAACTTGTTAGCGCCACGTTCGGCTGCTGTAAAGTCCTTCGCTGCCTTCAATATCTGCACAGCCAACTTTATATTCATGCCATAGTTCGTACAGATCTTTGGTCGTTTTGATAGTCGGGCTGCACGTTGCCTTGTAGGGGGCACTTCTCCGGCAGGAATGTGGGCAGAGACATCTCGACGAACGCCAGGCTGTATGGCAACGCGTCGAACTATTGCCTGGAGTTTTTGCAGATCTCTCTGGATATCGCGTCGTAATTGCTGAACTTCATCCGCTGTATGGCGGCGAATTGCTGCTATTTGAGCGTACAGTGCTGCGAACTCGCGACGACTAACTTCCCCACCCGACACATTACCACCAGAACGTGTAACAACTGCATTGTTCTCTTGATCAGGGCCCTCACTGCTGTCCATTATGACGAGGTTTAGCTGCGAGCCATCGCCAGTGACGAAAATTCCCTTCCGAACAACAGGATTTAGCCCTGAAGTGTCAGCAATATTAGCAAATGCGCGTAAAATTCTCTGCTGTAGCTTTTTCGGTAATAAAGCGTACTCGTAGTTCTCAGATGGTTCCATCGCCACCCACAATAATGGCAATGCCAATGTAGCTGCAATGGATCCTCCCATGAGCTGTTATACGGCAGGTGCAATATGATCTACGAGAAAAGCGGTCGAAATGCGGCCAGCTCCAGTCCCCATATTATAAAAGCACGGCCCCTCTGGACCTGCTAACGTTGCTGCCGTCAATGCATCAGGATACGGTTGGGTGTTGTCTATGTAGACGTCAACAACCTATTTGCGCGTTCTCCAACGTCCTCGTCGGTTAACAAAGTCCTTTGAGCTACCACTCCGAGTCGCGTACGTTGCAGCACCTTTGCGAAGGCTGTGTGTCCCCAGCTTTCCTGTCTTGAGCTTCTTAAATGAGTCGTTATTCACCATGCTAGTCAAGAACCGTCGAACTACATGGTCACCGTCCTTAGGATTGCCGTACACAAACTCAGAGCTCATGACACTTGACGTAGACTCTATATGGACAGCGAGGTTGAGAAGTACACACATCTTGGGATCCAGGCTATCAATAATGATCTGCTCTAGAGCATCTCGCTCTTCGTGAATATTTTTTGACCACCGCATCTGCAAAAGTAGTGTGGAAGGGTATTGTGTGTTAGGTGAGAAGTTTGCGAATTGCAACTTCATCATGTCGTCAATCCGGGCGCAAATATGCCACTGCAGTGTTAGCACACTGCTAACCAAGTATGATGAGTCATCCGATTTCCATCGAGCCCGAACTAAAAGCAGTAAGTTCAGAACTCAGCAAACTCCACAGCTCGGCGAGCTTTGGATTCTGCCCCCTCGCGACGTACCTCAATTTTTTTCACCTTCTTGATCAGGTTGTTCACAGCGTCCGAGCGTGTTGGGTTACCGCGTTCGTTCACAGGATCCGATGTTGTATTTATTCGCGGCATAAAAGATGATATAGCTTTCTTAGCAAACTCAAGCGTGCTTGAGCGACGGTGAATAGGTTTCATGGATTCATCTGGCTCCGGGTCGCCGTAAGCCTGCTGGTTCATATAGCGACAGACGTGATCTGGTGTGATGTTAAGGAGCTCGCCCATAGTGAAGACGTAGTCGCCGCTGTACGCCACGCCGTTCGTGAAGGCCATGAACCTCATGAGCTCCGGTTTGTAGCGACTTGTCATGATGGCGTGTTTTTCTGTACTGATTATTAATACTCTCCATGAAAGCCAGTGTAAATCGACTTATTTTTTGTAGAGAGGCTACACTGGACGGCTTGCAACTCTACACAGACTTTTTTGTACCAGTCCCGGTTGCAAAAGATGACACTTTGTGCTATGGTACATGCAACAATAGTTGCCGACGACACCTACTTGAGCGGGACCGTACCGACCACGATCCAGGCCGGTACCATGCCATTGGCCAATCACAGACTGCCAATCTAAAAAAATACAACCTCGGTTGCAAGTGGCTGGTAATGTATAAATACCAGCACGTTTTGCAACTCGGTTTGCAACAGGATTCTGATTGGGTATAATTAGATTAGGGACCAAGGGTATCAACAAGTACGTGGTCATCTACATGTACTACAAA